TTGCAAACATATCCCCCATGGAGGGATAACTGCCTTATTCTAGTGATAGGAGAGAAGCCCTAGTCCCTACTTCACAGGACTTGTCAGATCTACATGACCCCAACTGGATGGCATTCCCCTACATATGGTATTGTGGTGGGGGGATGGGAGGGGAGGGTGTTTAGAGTGCATGTGAGAGGGCAGAGAGGGCAAAAGGGAGGGAAGGAGGGAGGGAGGACTAGAGGGGAGGGAGGGAGGGAGGGAGAGGGAACTGGGATCGACATGTAAAATAATAAATTAAAAAAAAAAAAAAAAAAACGCTTTGACTCCAAAATTTAAGTTGAAGAACAAGTTACTGGGGAAAAGGATTTCTATTTTTGTTTCCACAGAAAATGAAAAGATGTGGATTTCTTCCAGACTAATGTGGTTTGATCACGCCAGACCGCCTGAAACAGAGTACAAGCTGATCCTACATTCCAAACAGCTGGACAAAACAGCCCTACAGACTACAGCTAGGATATCTGAATCTTCTTCGAATCCCCCAAGACAGCGCCCCTTACCAGCAGGAAGTAGTTTGGAAAGAACGACGCCCAAATTCCCAAATATTGTGTATAAATGTTTGTTTTCATTTAATTGGACTTTGTTATATAAAATTAAATAAAAAAATAACAAAAAAGAGAGAGGCTTCCTAACTCAGTGTTAGCAGCAAAATTCACAAGGCACAATTAAATGGGGCTTATGAGCAGCCCCATGCTCTTGGTGGTGTCATGGGCCTAGAAACTCCACAGTTTTAGCAATAAACAGGGCTCCCTCCAGCACCTGGGCCATGAAGCTAGACTCTCAGGAAGAAAGCCAAGTAATGGAGTCGAGTCAGTACCACTTTAATCCTAGCCATGCTGTTTAACAGATTAAAGACTCAGATGATCAGAAAAAGATATACAGGAAAGACTTAGTCAGATTAAGAAAAACCTCTAAAGGCTTTACAGTGTGTCAAACTATATATATATATGTGTGTGTGTGTGTGTGTGTGTGTGTGTGTGTGTGTGTGTGTATGTATGTATGTATGTATTATATATGTGTATTATATATACATACATATATATAGTTTATGTATGTATACATACATACATAGGCTTGGGAGAAAAAAGAAAAAGCATAAAGTCCTTAAAAAAGAAATAGAGCAGCTGGGTATGGTGTCACAGGCATTTAATCCCAGCACTTGGAAGGCAGAGGCAGGCAGATCTCTGTGATTTCAAAGCCAGCCTGGTCTACAGAGTGAGTTCCTGGACAGCCAAAGATACACAGAGAAAGCTTGCCTCAAAAATAAAATAAAATGAAAAATATAGAGAATTAAAAAAAAGAAAAGCCACACAAAGATGGAAAATACATAGTCTGGATGTTATTGTATTGTCTTTGAATTGATTGTTTGCTGAAGGAGCAACAGCTGCTAAAAGACATTTCATTATAAATGTTGCACCATTCAACCTATATATTTTGAAAATGCCTTGACTTCAAATTTTAAGTCTAAGGAAATGTTACTTTGCAAAAGATTCTGCTTTTGTTTCCACAGAAGATGAAAAGCTGCCGACTCCTCCCAGACTAATGTGGTTTGATCAAGACCCCTTGAAGCAGTGTTCCAGGTGATCCAACACCCAAAAACAGCTGAGCTGATGTAACCCCACAGACTACAGCCAGGATTTGGCCAGGTTTCTGGGTTTTCTCAGGATCCCCATGGTATTGACAGCACCCACAAATAGCAGGAAGCAGTTTAGAGAGAGTAATGCCCAAATTCTCAAATATTGTTTATAAATGTTTGTTTTCATTTAAACAAGACTTGCTCTAAATGTTTAATGGTGACAGTCATTCTCTTTCTAATGAAAAAAAATTAGGATGGATATTATATATAAAAGAATACTTTGCATTAGCATGGATTTTAGTTTATTCATACAAATTTAAGGTCAATTTTGTTATATGTATATTCTCCTCTTATTTAGATATTGTGTTCATTAAGCTCATTTTAAAGTGTACAGATTATAATCATCTATAATAGTCAAAACTTACATTAGTTTTTCTAGATATACAGAATTATATTTTAGATGGATAGGTATTCTTCAAAACCTTTCAAAGACCTACAGAATATGGCATTTAAAATGGTTTGTTAACTTATGACTTTTCATGACAATGAATCACATCTCCTGGAAACACCAATTATGTCAGAGAGGAAGATGGTTGATGGGGGATATCTTTCTGTATATGTTTCTCTTATTGGTTGATGAATAAGACACTGACTGGTCAGTAGAGGCAGAAAGATAGGCGTGACTAGGAGACAAGAATGCTGGGAAGAGAGGAGAGAGGGCTCAAAGCGATGCCATGTAGAGACCAGGAAGATAGGATGCACCAGACATTCTGTTAAGATAAGGCCATGTAGACATACATAGATTAGTAGTTACAGGTTAATAATTAAGACAGAGCCAGCCAATAAGAAACCCTGGCCATCAGCCAACAGTTTTATAATTAATATAGCATCTGTGAGTTTATTTGGGGGAAAAGTGGCTATGGAACCAGGTAGGACAGAAACCTTCATCTTCAGATGGGCATCTAAGAAGCCCATTATGGAGTTTGCCTTAAACATGGCAGAGATATAGCTATTTGGACAAGCAAGGTACAAAGAAAAGTGACTTCTGAACTTGCCAAAGGACAGGATGGTCTTTCAAAGTATGCCAGACACTTCGGCATATAAGCTTAAGAGGGATGCCCCACCATCATAGGGGAACTTTGGGTGACTGTACAGGCAGTGAGATGTCTCTATCAATTCTAGAGTTTATGTGTTATCCTTCTATGGTCTTTGATGGAGTTGAAGAAAGCTATGGTTTTCCTTAGTTATGATAAAAGTTACACATAAAACTTTAGACTAATAAAGATGGGATAATTTTATTTCAATTTTTCCAAATGTTAGTAGACTAAATATTGTTAACTGTAAGTCTTGCTTGATAACTGTTTCATTATATATAACTTTACTATATTAAAATTAAAACCTTCCTTTTTAGACAAAAAAAGATGAGCATGTCCTTCTGTATCCTGTTAATGTGTTTCTTGTATTGGTTGATGAATAAAGCTGTTTTGGCCAATGGACAGGCAAGCTTTAGCCAGGTGGGAAGTCCAAACAGGGATAGAGAAAGGTAGTTGACAAAGGGAGATGCCATGTAGCTTCAGAGGAAGCAAGAAAAGCAAGAACCTGGGCATTCTCTGGAAAGCCAAGACCACCTAGAGATACATAGATTATAGAAATGGGTTAATAATTAAGAGAGAGCTAGCCAATAAGAAGCCTGAGCCATTGGCCAAGCAGTTTATAATTAATATAAGGATCCTGTACTGTTAAGAGTACAGGAAGATAGCATGTCAGAGTTAATGCTTGAATGTGATACTCCATACAGGACAGCTAGTACTGAAGGAGTGTGGGAAGCTGGACTTTTAGTTGGGCAGAGTTCATACAACAGGTTTATTTAAGGACTTGCTGAGTTTCTCTGGTATTTTATTCTTAAAATGTGTAAGTTTACACACACACTCACACACACACACACACACACACACACACACACACACACACTTGCTATTGGTTCAGTTTAAAACAGTCTCTAGAGATAGAAGGAAATGCCAACAGGTCTTATTTTTTCCCTCAGAAATTACATTTATAATACTGTCATTTTCAATTTGTAAGAGTCATTAAAGAAAAACATCCAATCCAATGCAGAGCTCAAACACAGGATAGTAAGAGACTACTGGTGTATAGTCAGAAGATACATTATTTCAAAAAGGCGTGAAACTGTTCTAAATATAGAACAGTGAATACTTATCAGGACTCTAAACCTCATCTGAAGCAATTAGTTGTTAGAAAGAAATTAATATAAACAACACTGGAAGTGAGTTATGGTCAATGAACTTAACACTCAATGTTCCAGTCAGCAGGACACCCTCAATGGTAGTAGTCCATTATTTTAAGAAACTGAAAATAAAGTCAGTGAGAACATTCTAGACAAAATTATACCCCTCAAAGGGGGGGGGGCACTTTGGAAAATTCAATTCCCCAACTACTCTGAAAGACTTTTTGTTTACCACTAACACATTTCACAACTTGTATGAAAATGCAATCAAAACTATTAGAGGAGATAAATCTAATAACCAATGTGAGCTGCTGTGTCATTTCCTATAATAATCACTTTGAGAATGGAAAAGGGCACAATCTTATTTCCCATACTAACTTTTAATATGGCAATTCCCAAACCGTATTCTAATTTTAGTACTTACCATGCTCCCAAATCTTCATTTCATTAATAGAAATAGAAACTCAGTGTTCACACAAGGATAAGTAGTTCTGTCCACAATTTATTGAATTGCAAATCAGATTCATTAGATATTATGGTGGCTAAACAGAATAAATCTGGATTCTTGGATGTCAGCATTATTGAAATGTTAAATTATGAGGAAGTAAGGCTATCAAATACCTACCTAAGTCTCAACAGTAAAAATATTTTTAAGGACCATCATATTTGGTAATAAATTAGGTTTATATAACTGATAATTTCAAAATAAATAAAAACCTGAGTTGAAAATGCTTCCTCTTATCCCAGCAAACATACGTAATAGCTCATTTTCATTAAGGCCAGTGTACTTCAAACTTCATTCAATGAATACACATATAACCCTTGGGAATCTTGTAGTACAGTCAGCCTAAACTCCTAATGAACTACAGAGGAAGCTGATGCTACTGACCCTCAGACTCTCCCTTGAGCAGTAAGGTGACCCAATATGAATTAAATATGATTTCTGTCTTAATGACTAGCTTTATAAATGCCAGTTAGAAAAAAAGCATTCTAGTTAAATGAAAGCATGAAGTATCCAAGTTGGCAGTGTTTGGATTTGTCTAAGAGTGACACCTTTGATGGGATACCAAGCTTTGTTAACTTGAAAAGTAACAACAGCTGGAGGCTCTCACAGTTAATTCAAGCCAATACACTGCAAACCACTGTTAAAAATCTTTAATGGTTAAGTGTCCATTTAAGTTACTTGTAAACTTTCTTTAAGCTACCCCATCTCCTCCTCCTCTTTCAACAAACAAATGCTGCTTTTTCTTCTGTCTTGTGGCCAAACAGCGTGTAATACCTAATGCCCCTCCCTTTAAAAATCGAACAAAATTGTCTCCAACCAAAGGACCCAAAGCAAAAAGGTTGGCTTCTTTAACACATTCATAGGTGTATGCATCAACCTCCACAGGGTTCCCCTTGCATGTTATTGGCTGGCTTGAGTTATGGCCTAGGTAACACCCTTGTTCTTTCAGAAAAGACAGGTTAGGATGAGAACCTATCAAGACTACAGCTGCAGACAGCTTAAATATCTTCTTCAATCCAGAGACACTTTGAAGAATGCATTTCATGTCTGACTTAAAGGAAAGCACACGGTGCTCAGGAAAGCTGGTATAATCAGATAAAGAATCTGAGTCTGCAGAGTATGTCTGAGTACACATCATATGATAGACTTTGTGATACTCAGGATACAGCTTTTGTGGAAGCTGTTTGAAAATTAAGCTTGGATCAGTTACTCGTCTGCGAAATACGTGGATCACAGGGATATTATTGTTGTAAGCACACAGTACTGCATCGGCTGCAGTAAGACCAGAGCCTACAATCAGCACTGGATCTGCTCTGCCACACAGCTTTCTTTTGTTTATAGCTGCTCCAAATTCAGGCATTGAATGAAACACAAAAGGTAACTCTTCCCCTTCAACTTCCAGATGGGCGGGAGAATCCAATGTTCCAGTTGCAAGAGCTACATTCTCAGCAAAGAGGCAAAACGGAACATGAGAACCACCTGCTATTCGCTGATAGCCTCTGATTTCCCAGTTTCTTTTGACAAATTTTGACTTCTGGTTCTGTAAATGCTTTGTTGAAATATCTTTGTCTTGACTACCATTATCACCTTGATCTCTGTAGAGTCTTGATACAGAGGTTATGTAAGTATTCTCTCTGAAATTCTTCTGAAGACCCATGATGTTTACATAGTGTTTGTAGTAACGTGATATTTCCTCTGGCATAACCCGGTCCCCCTTTAAGTTCCTATAAGATGTAAAGGAAAAATACCCTATGAGGAGAGTACTTTCAGTTTCAGATTACTTTCCTAGCTAGTAAGCCTTTATATCTTAGTTTTTTTTTTTTTTTTTTTTTTTTTTTTTTTTTTTTTAGGTTGTTTTAGTTAAAAATTACCCTCATGTTTTATAAAATTTGTTCCCATGTTTTCTTATCCTAGCCAGAATAGCAGTTATTAACAAAACATAAGCCAAATGCTAGCAAGGGTTGGGTAAAATGAATCACTGGTGGTAAAGAATACAAACTAGTCTAGTCACATGGAAATCCATATGTAAGGTTCTCAAAATATGGAACCAACCTGTGTCTAGCACAGAAATCATGTAAAGGAAACAGCATTTTAAAACAACACCAACCCCGCCTCCAGACATAAAGGGTTAAGTCATGCAACAGGAAAACAGATGCAATGGAAATACCATATTAAGTGAACTACGCCAATCTTAGAAGTACAAATGTTTTCTCTCATTTGTGGTTTCTAGATTTTACTTAAATAAACAAGTTATTTATGCATATGTATATGAAAAGAAAACATCTAGAGGATCAAAGGAAGCAAGTGAAAAGGGAACATCTTGATAAACTTCAAATTAATAAATAGATTAAAATATAGATATTTGAAAAATCAGCTTACTTTACCTTGCAACTGTAATAATTTAGATTGCATCATTAACTAACTGTTCAGAGAGACTAGACATTTGACAGCAATTAATTGTGCCTAGGTTAAGATCCCAGCACACAGCTGGGTACAATGGCACATACCTTTAATCTTCTGTGTAATTTAGAAAATTAAATGCTTCTGGTTAGTGAAAACCTTTCCATTTTGCTACTCATTTTAACAAATCTAAGAATATGCTGAACAATTTCACTTGCTTATCAAATGAATTCAAACAACTTGACTGATTTTGCAAACTCAAATTTTCAACCTCTATATATTTCCATTTTACAAAGGCCAAAAGCGAATGTTTAAAGATTTAGCTTTTGCTCCATCTATTTATCTTCTATGTATAAGTGTTTCACCTGTGTGTATCTATGTACACCAAATATGTACAGTGCACATGAGTGTCAGAGAAGGGTATCAGATCCTCTGTAACTTGAGTAATGGAAGGTTGTGAGCCACCATGTGCTGGGAACTGAACCTGAGTCCTCTGTAAAAGCAGCAAATGCTCTTAATAATGGAGCCATCTCTCCAGCCCCATCATCATGACCTAGATTTAAAACTTATGTCCTTAAATTTTTTAAAATTAAGAATTATTTCTACAGATTTACCATGGTTGCTACCTAGCAGGAAGTAAATTACTCAAATGTTACATCTCTATCCTAACAAATATTAAGTAAATTCCTGCTTTAACTCACTTCCATTAGTAAAATTAGATTGTCTGCATTAGTAATATATATCTAGTTTATACATGCACATCAAAATGACAGGACTTTTCACATTCCTCCTTTTGAATTTTATGTTCTTTCTCCAAAAATGAGTAAGACTTATATTCTTCCAAGAAGAAACCCAGTCCTACTTAAAGTATTTATAATTAAATATTTACCTTCATGTCCAAGTAGCCAACTACATCCCAAGTTTTAGAATATCATTCTAAATGATCAATCATAATACACTACTCAAAAACAAACCCTTTGCTAATGTGGTGGTGTCCACCTTTAATTCCAGTGGATTTAATCCTGGCAGAGGCAGACAAATTTCTGTGGGGTCCAGGCCAACCTGGGCTACATAGTAAGTTCCAATCAGCCAAGGGTATGTAGAGAGTCTTTGTCTCAAAATACCAAACCAAACCATAGTAAACATTAAGTATAAATAAATACCACTAAAAAACTGACAGGAGTATGAGAAATAATGCATAGGTAGATAAATAGGTAGAAGTAATTCATAGATTGAATGTAACAGTGATTTAATATGAAAGATAAATCTTCATAAAAAAAAAGATTACAGGAAGGCCCCTGTAAACAGTCCTTTATGTACACATAGCTTTACAGCATCCCAAGTGGAAACTAGCTCATAATCATTGTATCACAAAAAAACTTTTATTTAACAAGTGTATTTCTATTCATCTAACACAGGATTCACAAATACTGCAAAAATTTCTCAGGCACCTTTCTTCACACATCAAAGAATTTTAACAATTTGATCTTTACCTTCGTTTGCTAGACATCCAATCTTTAAAATTAAGTCCAGGTAGCTCCATCCAATTTCCAAAGCTGATTGTCAACATAGAGCCTTCCATATTCTAGTTTGAAAGTACAGTTAAAAAATACAATGAAGCAATTTTCCTTTTGAAGCCAAATTCACCTTATTTATATACAAATTCAGATGTATATGTTCACTAGAGTCCAAAAGAGTGATATATAAACACTATGGATTTTGTTTTCAGACATAATAGCAATTACACACAGAAAAATGGTGCAACTGGAGTGAATCCTATTAAGTGAATTAACCCACTTCCAGGAAAAAAAAAAAAAACTTAGAAACAAAAAAAACTTATGTTTTCTTATTTTCTACATATTTTCTCTGAAATTCCTTTCTAATAAGACTTTTATACATTTTCACCATTTGGTACTACCCTTAGTTATACATTTATGAAACAAATTATATCACTAGCTTTGGTCTATGATCAATATACTAAGACATAGTTGTTAAAGAACAGATCAGCATTTTTCTTTTCTTTTCTTTTACTTTTTAAACAAAAGAAAAAAATGGTCACTAATTTCCAAAATTTTGTTTTTTCATTTTGGTATTTTTTAATAGATTTTATTAAATTAAAGAACGGCTTTTCTCTATCAGTTATAATCTTGAAATCTGCACTAGGCAGAATATAATATAATCACTTCTACAAATAGAAAAATAAGCAGCAGTTGCCTAAGAAACATACTTCACACTGAGGTTAGTGTTATCATCAAAGAAGCAAACATCTCAAGCTTCCTCAACCTACTTCTGCTTCGATCAAAACAAAGCAAAAAGCCAAGGGCCAAGGTACCTATCTATCCAATCACCAACAAGCTTTTGTAGACAATGGCTCTGTTTTCATCACACAGGACAGGCTGAGAAAGTGCATATTATAGTACATTTTATTCAGTCACATAAAATTTTTGAGATAGGGTCTCATATAACTGGTTTACTTATGTATTTTTTAGAGATATTATCCATAATTTTAAGTATTTATTTATTTAATATATATGAGCAAACTGTCTTCACGCATACCCGAAGATCAAATCAGATCTCATTACAGATAGGTGTGAGTCACCATGTGATTGCTGGAAACTGAACTCATGTCCTGTGGAAGAACAGCCAGTGCTCTTAACTGCTGAACCACTTCTCCAGCGCCTATATTTGCCACTCTGACCTCCAACTTCCGTATGTAACGTATATACCACGAATGCCTGCTGTTATTAGGATAATATTGTTCTGAAAGGAGGAATAGTGACAGAAGTATTATCCAAGCAAATGTAAAATGGTACTTCTTCAAAGATGCAAATGAATTTTGAGGAGTGTACCTATTAGAAAGGGAGAATATTCCAGGCAAAATAAAAACTGATATGACAGCCTAATAATGAAAAAAAAAAAAAAAAAAAAAAAAAAAGTCCTTCAAGGAATTAAACTGAACCTTGTATAAGACGTGTGGGACTCTCCAAGAAGCAAGAAGGGGTTACATCAAGGTTTCACATTTCTAAAAGAGGCCTCTTAGATGATCTCTAAGCCTTTGGGTATCTTCTACTTAATGAGGGTATTATTTGCATACCCAAGCCTTGAGTAATGCTGTACCCTTGTGACTGTGTAAGTTTATCCTAACGATATGATTTATGGTGATTACTAGTGCCCCTGAGACAGAAGTCTGGGGGGCTGAGGTCAGACATTGCTTGCTGTCACATACACACACAAAATCTAAATAGGGATTGGGGCTTTAGCCCAGTTGATAAAGTACTTGCCTAACATACACAGAGCTGTGCTCTGTTCCCAGCACCTCAAAAACTGGGCATGGTGGAACACACCTGTAATTCCAACACTTGGGAGGTAAAGGTGGGAAGAAGGGAAGCTCAAATCTATGGTACACTGGGAGTTTAAGACCAGCCTAGGCTGATTATCCATCTATATGTGGATACCAAGCATAAACAAGTTTTGTTGCTAGACAGTTCTCCTTGAAGATTTTCAAACACCATTACCATTCACTATTGGGAGATTTCAACACATCTTCAGCAAACAGCAAGATTTCAAGGGCCAGAGCAGCAGCACAGAACACATGGTTAAACTGTAGGAGAACTATGTCACTGTGTTGGTCTACATGAGAATAGCCCCCATAGGCTCACACATTTGCATGCTTAGTAGTCAACTGGCTTAACAGTTTGGAAGGATTAGGAGATATGGCCTGGTTGAAGGAGGTATATCACTGTGATTGGGTTCTGAGGTTTTAAAAGTCCACGGTGGACCCAATGTCACTCTTTCTGCCTGCAACCTATGGATACCGATATAGCTCTCAGCTATTTCTCTATCACTATGCCACCCCAAATCTGTCATGCTCCTCACCATGATCATAATATATAAAACTTCTGAAACTGTAAGCAGGCCCCCAATAAGATAATAGTCATGTGTCTCTTCACAGCATAGAACACTAAGACAATCACGAAATGGGGTTCAAGCCACGGCTTTATAGACTTTGGAAGTGAGAGAAATGTCTTTTGTTCACATTAAATCTTTTGTTTACAATACTTCTCATTTAAAATCTTGCAAATATATGGAAATAGTGGCTGAAGACACAGCTCAGTGGTTAAGAGCACAAGATATTCTTCCAAAGGACCTGGGTTTGATTCCAACTATCTGCAAGTGCTCTTCTAGCTTCTGTGGGCACCTGAGACCTGCATGGTGCACAGCTGTACATGCAGACAAAATACTCATAGACACAAAATAAAATAAATATTCCTTTAAAAAAAATACATGGAAATAATAGACATTGTTTTTCAAAATACACTGCAAGATTTTTCTAAGCTCTAAATTAAGAATTTTAATTTACTATGAAGACTGTCCCCTTTAATTTTTTTCTGTACAATCTGTAATAGGTATTCAAAGACTATATCATTAATAAAACTCTGGCTTAACTACCTACAGTCAGTATATGCTAAAGACTCAAGTTGGAAGCCAGGCATGATGGCATAGGCCTTTAATCCCAGCATTTGGGAAGAGGCACGTGGATCTCTACGTTCCAGGCCAGCCTGATCTACAGAATAAGTTCCAAGACAGCCAGAAATACACAAGAGAAACCTTATCTGGAAACAAACAAACAAATATCAAGTTGGTTTTATTAAGGCAAAATGTAACAAATATCTAATATACACTAAAACATGAGTAACATACTTACATTCCATGCCCCACCAGGTGGGCCTTTACCAAGAACTAAGTGGGGGATATAATGATGCTGTTCCAATTTCCAGTGCAGAATGGATGGATATTCATACCCAAAGTCAGCATCTGGATGAAGAAGTGTGTCAAAAAGCACTGCCACTGGATTGGATGATCGGCCCTCCAGACCCTCAGACAAGTATTCCAAGTCCTGAATGAAAGAAAAAAAAGTGAGCCTAAAAAAAGTCAACACAATTACGTTAAGAAAGGATATGCCAACTCAGTAGTCTCCACAGAGTGAGCTAGAGAACATGTGTTTTCCTTGAGCTCATTCATAATAGAGTCCCTGGCAAAATAAATGTAGGCAACACTTAGATTATAAACAAAGCTTTAAAAAAAAGTCCTTATAAGATCTGAAATACATTTGGCATACAAATGTCAACCAGGGTGTAAAAGGTAGCACTTCCCAAACCCTCACCGGCAGGGCTGCAAAGATGGCTGAGTCAGGAAAGGGCTGTCCTCATAAGCACGAGGGCCTGACACTTAAAAGAAAGCCATGGTGGACCATACTTGTAAACACAGCACTGTGCAGGTGGTGGCCACAGGAGGATTTGTCCCACTCATGGCTAGGCAGCCTAGTCTACTAGGTGAGATTAAGGAATGAGAGACATCTGGCTTCAGAAAACATGTTGGACAGATTAAGAATTAACACCCAAGGTTAAATTGTGGCCTACATTGCAGGCATAAACACTCATGCTCCCACATAAAGCTGTACCCACAGTCATATAATTTTTTTTTTTAAAAACCCTACTAGGAAATTAATTGGGAATTTTTGCTCAAATATTCAATATAACTTAGATAGGACATCCGAATATATTTATAAAGCTAAAACAAATAGCATTACTTAGAACGAAGGATTTACAACAAGCTAACCTGGTTGGAGCATTAAAATACTTTTTAAAACTGGTATAACAAACAATACCTGGTCGACAATGGAGAGATGTCTTGCTTCTTCTAGTTTACTATGTAAGATTGTATTTGGATGTATTGCTTCAGATGATAAATACGGTCTGTAGCCTGATAGCATATACGAAAGGCATATTCCTGAAGGTCCATTTCCTATTTTATTTTTAAAAAAGGAATATAATGTAAGTTGATCCCCTTTATGATTTGGCATGTACATAACCTTACCTGTTCTTCCTTCTCTAATCAACTAAAAGCTGGTGCTCACAAACTTCTGACCTCTGCTTCTCTCTCAGTATCTTTCAGTATATCTCATCTAGTTAAGGCTTCAACTCTGTGCCACTGACTTCCAAAATTAGTTCTTGAGAAATAAACATTTTTATAGTTACTTCTTCATTACAACTGATGCGTAGTTAGACAATGGGCAGGAGAGATGGCTCGGCAGGGAAAGATGCTTGCCACCCTTAACAATCTGAATTAAATCTCTGGAACTCACACAGTAGAAGGAGAACCAATTCTTATAAGTTGTCCTTGCACATACATTCAGGGACACACACACACATTAAAAATAAAAATAAATAAATAAATAAATGAGTGACATTTTAAAAGTCAAGAAAATATATCTGGTAATATCCACAAATACAAGAAAAGTCATTTGACAAAAACCAGCATGTATCCAGGAGTTTAAAAATATGAAACCAATTCAAAAGAGGAAAACTTCAACATGATAAAGGTAATGTGTTTAAAACAAACATATGTGTTTAAAACAACAAAACAGACATTCATCACCATGAAGGAAGGCCTGAAGGAATGAAATAGAAGATACAAAGATTGGGGAACAGGAGGGAATAAAAACATTGTTTGCTAATGACATGATTATCTACATAGAAAATTCCTCAAATTGACCCCACAAGACCCAGAACAGCAATTAAGGCAAGAATGTAGGACACAAGTCAATACACAAAGGTCAAGTACTTTCTTAAACTAAAGAAAAAAGATGTTGAAATAAAAACCACACTGTCAATTACATTTACATAAAAAGAGATACATCTTTAGCATAATTTTAACAAAATATGTATAAGAACTAATAAAGAAAACCACAAAATATACTTAAAGAAAAAATAATTTTAAAAAGGTCTAAATAGATGAGAATGTATTCCAAGTTCATAGATAAGAAACCTCAAAGCTATTATAAGTTATTTTTAACTTGATCTATAGACTTATCAATAGACTTATTAATAAAGATAAATATTTCAATATCTATTCTAAAACTATTTAGAAAAGTAAAAGGTTCAGAGCAGCCACCATACAAGTCTTGTCTGATCTGACTTTCTCAAGTTTGACTACTAAATACAAAATATAAATAGCAGTTAATTAAATGAATATACTTATTAAGCTTTAAAAATGTGAATTATTAGCCAGGCATTGGTGGTGTTCGTCTTTAATCCCAGCACTCGGGAGACAGAGGCATGTGGATCACTGTGAGTTTGAGCCCAACCTGGTCTACAGAGTGAGTTCCAGGACAGGCTTCAAAGCAATACAGAAAAACCCTGCCTCAAAAAGCAAAAGTGATTTATTAAATACCTTAATTTTAATAGTTGTAAATCCTGTTAATGTACAAAGGATAGGGTGAAATTATATTTTAAGTAATTATAAATATTACAGCAGAGCACTATAATTCCACTGCTAAAATAGCATGAGTTATTGACAGCTGTCATTCAGTTCATGAGTATGCCTACAGGTGTCTAACCAATATGAGGTTGAAATCTAATAATTCACAGAATGATCTCCATAGAACTCTAATAATACTGGTCATCATTAATGGCTATATCTGTAATTCAATGAAAAGCTATCACATTCCAACATGGACTCTATCCTATAAGCCAATCCTTCTCCCAAGGTTTGGTAATTACTATTTTAATGTATCAAACAACTTAATACTTTATAATTTTGTCCTTTATTATGTGCCTCCATTCACAGAATCATCTCCTTATATTTTTGTCCTTTTAAGATACTTCTTAATTGCCACATGGTAGTTGAATATATTTGTGAGGCAAAACCTGGCATTTTAATGCATGTATACAATGTATAGTGATCAGATCAAGGTAACATATACATCACTTCAGATACCATTATTTGTGGTAGGAACATTCTAACTGCTACTATGTTTAGCTGGGGAGCCTTTTCAATACAATGTAAAAACATATACACCTTAGAATTATAAAAGTAATAACTAGCTTTAAAGAAATAAAATACAGTAACTTACCAATTATTACCACAGGTAAAGTCACTGATGAATCTTCAAGTAAAGAAGTTTCTTCAACCAATGGCATCCCTTTAACTTTTGGCCCCAAATTATCACCAAAATATTGCACTAAAGAATTAAAAATCTCTCCTTCAGTTTCAGTATCACTATAGTCTCTTTAAAAAGAAAAAAAAGTATAGTTAATTTAGGTTTATAAAACCCATTTTTTTGGTCACATTTTATTTAGGCAATAAAATATCCAGCAGTTGCATAATGCTTTCCATAGTATAACATTTAAATCCATAAATCTGAAGTGGCTATTTATCTCATATAAATATCTTATAAGCAAGTTAACTACTTGAGTAAACTTTTTTTCCAGGCTAGGGAAATAGTAAAGTGCCTGCCTGCATGAGGACCTGAGTTCATTTACCAGAACCACATAAAAAGGATGAGCACTGTCAGATCTCTGGGGCTCAATGGCAAGCCAGTCTAGTCTAATTGGCAAGCTCCATCCCAGTGGATGATCCCATCTAGAATAAATAGGTTGATGGTTTCTAAGAAGTAACACCCAAGGCTATCTGACCGAGACACATATACACACACACAAACACAGAGCTTCTTCTGACAACCAAACACACAGAATTATACTTGAAATGTTATAATTCTTTTGAGATGCCTAGGAAGGGCTAGTTTCTCATATATCCTCCCCTCCCCCAGCCAGCTGTACACCTTTAATCTCAATCCCAACACTCAGGAGGCACAGGCAAGCAGATCTCTGAATTTAAGTACAGAGTGGTCCAGGGCTACACAGATAAACCATGTATAGCAGAACTACTCATAGTTTTATTATTATTTTTATTTCATGTGCATTGGTGCTTTGCCTGCATTCATGTCTGTGTGAGGGTGTCAGATCCCCCAGAACTGGAGTTGTGAGCTGCCAAGTAGGTGCTGGGAATTGAACCTGGGTCCTCTGAAGAACAGCCATTGCCCTTAACAGCTGAGCCATCTCTCCTGCCCTAGTCAGACATGTTAAGAAAATATTATTGTACAAAACTGGGCCTTTTGGTAAAAGAAATGAGGTCTACATGTTTTCAAGTAAGGAAAAACCTTAACATTGACTTCCAATCTTTATTTCCCAATTGCCTCTCTAGAAATTAGTTTCAGTATACTGACATGTTCATTCAATAAACTCAGTTAATGCAGTTATTTTTAGTTTACTTCAAAATAAAATCATCGAATTGGTTTTCATCTTTAGTCATCAACAGTTTCGTCTTGGAAGGGCTAATGTAGTACACACTAGCTGTGTCATTACGACTTTCTAAATGATGGCTGTTATTTCACAGGACTAAGACAAAATTGTTAATCCTAGATGTTGGCTGCTCACACCAACTTGGGCAGCAGGATGGCTGTACCTGCCCACTCAGAGATTCCTTGTAAGCCCCATCCCTTGAGACCTCAGGCCACTAAGATCAAGCTTCACCCAAGACTACTATGGCCTACTTACCTCCTCCCTTGAGACAACTAGGAACCAGAGGGGCCAGGCCCCAGGCTGAGGAACTGCAAAGGCCCTCTCCCTGCTCCACTAGCTGTGTTCCCAGCCCCTGGAAGCAGGACAGTGGCCAGGTACAGCCCAACGGGGGGGGGGCCCTCAAGATCAAGCCATAAATAAATAAATAAATACCTTGATCTCAAGCATCCTGAAAAGTACCCTCATCTGCCCCCTGCAACTATACAAAAACCCAGCCACCCTCCTGGGTCATTTCTTCTCAACAAATTTCCTCTGTGACTCTGTGGTATTCCTTGGCTCCTGATTGCCAAGATACCTTTTTCTTCAGAACTGTAACACATACACTAGGGTTTGATAAATGGAAGAATTCCAGACAGAACTTTTCACTTCCCTGTAACCTTCAGAGACCTCATCCTACTTGTGATAACTAATCTATACTAGGAATCTGACTGGACCTGAGGAAGTTTTCTTGATCAGATTATTTGAAGCATGATGACCCACTGTAAATGTGGGCCACACCTTCTAGAAGGAGCCCAGATAAAAGGAGATGATGGAAACTTGCATTTTAACATTGTGCTGGCAAGTTCATCTACTATCCTTTGTCACCGCATTCCTTCACTGATATTACACCAGCTTCCTTGGGGTCCTAACAGTTTGAAGTCCAGCAGCTCTCCAGGAATCTTCCAGGACTTCAATGCCAGAGAGGGACTGCTAAGATATCCAGCATCATGGACTGAACTATTCTCCGCTGATTCTATCCAGTCTAAAACAGCCATTGTTGGACTACCTGAACCATGTAAGTCAATCTACTAAATCCCCTTTTAATATATCCATTTTATAAGTTCTATTCCTTTAGAGAACTCCAATACACTAGCCCAGGATAGTACAAAGTTAGATATACTAAGCTTTCCTGAGCTCTAAAAAGAAAAGATTGCCCCTAAATGCTTATAGTCCATTTTTTTTTTTTTTTAAAGACAGGGAAATGTTTTATTTAAAATCTATCAGTGAAATGGATGGCTTGGGTCTATGACAAATCATCTTTAAAGCATAAGTCAGTAACTGTACATACAAATTAACTGATCAGATCACAACTTTCTATGTTGGTTCAGAATAATCTTCCCTGTAAAAGCAGCACTTTTGTGACATTTAATCTAGTATTCTTCTCTTTCTTCCTCACCCTCTCCCTCAACAGAATCCACACCAGCTTCCTCATCATCCTTCTCTAAGGCAGCCATGTCCTCACTGCTCTCAGAGAACTCCCCTTCCTCTGCGTCCTCACCCACATACCAGTGCACAATGGCATGCTTAGCATACATGGTTTCCAATATATTCAATTTCAGAAAAATATTTCATTATTAGTTTTTACTATTTATGTGTCCAAAGTGTATGTATACTTGCTGTGTGATGGTATGCCCATGTGCAGCTTGGAGGTTAGAGAGGAAGACATCCTGCTCTATCACTCTGCCTTATTACCCTGATTCAGGGATTCATGAATCTTGAGCTACACTGGCAGCCAGCAAGCCCCAGCAACCGTCCTATCTCTGCTCCCCAAATCCAAAGGTTATAGGCACACACAGACACTTGTCTTTTACACATTGGTTTTAACAAGATTGCTGGAGATTTGCACTCAAGTCTTCATTATTGCATAGAAAGCACTCAACCACTGAGCCATCTCTCCAACCCTCCAGAAAACTATCATCCCTAGCAACTAAATACACAGCCCTTAGCTCTTCATTATCCCAGCAGCATCACATGGTAGCTTTAATTTATATTCCCCTAATAATATTAACCATCATTCCATGTATTTGTCATTTATTGTCTCTGTCTTTACCTGTCTGTCTCTTTCTCCAAATCCTTTGCCTGGTTTTATATTTGGCATAGGTAATCAGGATTCAAATTCTTCAGATACATAGTTTGTGAACATTTTGACCTATTTTGTAGGGTTTTGTTTTGCTTTTGTGTGTGTCATGATGTGTGTGTGTGGGGGGGTGTATCTGAAAACAATTTCTGAGAGTCTATTTTCTTCTACCTTGTGGGATCCCTGCAATCAACAGGCTCAACAGCAAGCACATTATCATCTTGATGGTTGGTCTATTTCTTATTTCTTCACTTTCTTGGTGTCCTTTACAGCTATTCTAAGTTCTGACCACCCCCAATGTATTTTTTTCTTCTCTTGCTGTGCTTTTAATATCATATGTAATAGATGACTACAAATATTTATATGCTTCCATTTAAGACTTTTCTGATTTCATTTTTGTGCAATGTGAACAAGTAGGCAAGTTCATTCTTCTATTTTGCACATCTTTGTGGGACTCTGACTGAACTACAACTGCTGAAACTAATGTCCATTTCCTGTTTTGGGGGGCACGCATCAAAGACTTAATTCACCAAAAATGAAACATTTCTGGTCTTTCAATTTCATTCCCCCGATTTATGCTATGTTTATGCCAGCAGCAAGTTTTCTTGATTATTGTTTCTTTGTAGTAAATTTTGAAACCAAAAAAGGTTAGTGGTCTGTTTGCTTTTTTAACCTTTGTAAGACTATTCTGGGTCCCTTTATTCCCCACATATCAACTGGTGCAAAACAGGCAGTTTATCTTTATGATACTGCACTGATCTGAAGATCAACCATAGGATTATTATTTTAAGAATATGCAGGTTTTCAATCTATGAAGATTAAACGCCTTTCCACGTACAGTCATGCTCTGAGAGAAGATGGTCTGAGAAATGCACCAGGTATTTCCATCCCTACAATAACATTGAGTGTATGATATGCAAATTAGGACAGCTACACTACTACAAAATGAAGATTTGAGGGAAGTCCCACCTATATTCAATCTGTCACTGCCTGTAACTTCATCGTGCAGCACAGCACATTAAATCCTAATTTCTTCTAAGGCTTCCTGCTTTTCAATGTGTAGTTGTGCATTTTTTGGTTAAATTATTTTCTTAGTGTTTCATTGTGTGAGTGGGACTATTTTGGTTTGGGGTTGTTTTTCTTTTTTATTTTATTTATTTATCATTTTATTTTATTTTATTTTATTTTATTTTTGGTAGGGTTTCACTGTGTAGCCCTGGCTGTCTTGCAACTATCTGTAGACCAGGCCTCATCAAAGATACCACCTTCCTCTTCCTCCCAAGTGCTGAGATTAAAGGCATATGCTACCACCACCTGGCCTATGGAAATACTTTGTTAATTTCACTTTCTGATTACCTAGTATTGCTTTATACCAATATTCACTCTTGTACATTAATCTTACATTCTGAAATATTGCTGAATTTGGTGTGTGTCACAAGAAGTTTGACTCAGAAATGTCCTAAGACTTGAAGATAAAAAGAACCAAAGGTTTAGCAGCTCTAATTTTCTGTACATTAGCTTACCTGAATTACACTTCTTCTCATTTCACAGTCACTACTATAATCATTCTGTGTGGCAAACTATAGGCAATACATTTTCCAAAAGCATTAGTACCTATGCACCACCTAAGTTAGGAAGTTGCTGTTGGTAGATGTTTTACAGTACATATGTGCAGTTCAGGACTATGACCAGTATTCATGTGCACTTAAATTTCCAACTTGATGAATATTCTATGTCATGTAAACTATTTTGAGGTAAAGAAAAAAAAAGAAAGACTGTTTCTTTATTCAGAACACCAATAAAGTGCAAATTATATAAACTACATTTAGAATCCAGTAAACAGCATTTTGCATGCAAGCAAAAATGTTACCACACTGTCAAGACATTAAAGATCATTTGTTATGATTTTGGAAGCTATTTGGTAATAAAAAGACTTTTTACTACAGCAACAATGTTTTCATCAATCAAATACAAATGAAATGCCTTTGTGCCTCAATTCTAAGGAAATCTGAACTCCCACATTAAAAAAAGGTTCTAATGTGCCAAATAGTCAGTCTCACATTTTATTTTCCATAATAGAAGTGTGAAGTTTTCCCCCTTGAAAAATTCATGTGAAATTCTATCACAGTGCCTATTAATGCAGACTTTGGAGAAACCCCCAAATGTAGTTATAATCACAAACTGTTTTAAAAAGCGTCCCAAAAGACAGCATTTGTGCTGAAGATGTCAACCCAGTGCAACACTTGCTTCATTAGCAAGGCCCTGCACTTCATAGCCAGCAACACAAAAATAAATGAATGATGACACACAAGACCAGAAACATTCCTGAAGGAGCTGGCAAACAATCTTAAAAAATAAAAAATCCTGGACCTAACAGAAGTATTTTAACAATGATACATTTAACAATGATAAAGTAGTAGGCAAGCTGTGTTGTCTCCAGCAAATACTTTCCACTCTCTCCCCTAAGTTTCTTTTCACAGAGAAAAGCATGTGGTATTTACCACATAGCCATAAGAGTGTGAATTCCCCTAGCTTTCTCCTCCCAGTTCAACATTATACCAAAGGTGTCAGTAGGCTTCCAAAGGGATATTTTCTAAGAAGAATGTAGTTTCCCAAGGGGTTTCAAATGTTCACTAAGCCTGCTTTGTACAACACTCAGAATGAATACTTTGTTGCAATCTGTCTAGAAGTTAGTTATCCAGCAGCCTATAACGTAAGACTTTTAGGATCTATCTAGAACTTAAAAGACTTATTACAAACTCACTAAGTTGAAACAGACCTAACCTCTTCTATTACTGTTATTAAATACACATAGTACTTACCTATATTAAATAACAAGCTCTGTGATTTGTGTTGATGACAGTGACAAATACTGGGACTTGGGGCTCATATTTGTAATGAAGGAAATGTCAATATTTTTATGTTAGTGATAATAAAACCCTTTCACCCAAGTTAATGGTTCACCTAAATTCTATGAGCCTCTATTAAACAATTCTTAATCTTTTTTTTTTTTTGCAAAAACAAGACAAAACAATATTAAAAAACAAAACCCAAGTATTACACATCCTTATTCAGCAATGTTCATACATGTAAAACCGGGTTCTGGAGTTCTTACTAAACATAACATTTCTTCACCCCACTGTCGATACTCAGTTTCTAGTACTTGTGACTTTTTTCTGTAATTCTCTGCAGTGCTGGTCAACTATAATGGATCTAGAACACACACTAGTTCTAAAAAAAAATATTCTCCTCACCTTGAGAAACTTTCATTATAATCTGAGTATAAAACGTTCACCTCCCAATTTTCTCCATCCCAACAGTTTAAAAAGGCTAACAATTTATTAATTTAGTCACAATTCGTGGTCACCACACACGACACATTCTTCTCTACTTCCCTTCAAGCCAGTAACTTATGTTCCGACTTTGGCCTAGCCACTCTCGTGGTCCAGGGACAAGAAGAGGGGTCCCCAGCTCTGAGCAGCGCCGGCCCAGCGGGCGGCGGCCGAGGAGCACACGCGGCGGAGCGGGCTCCGACCCGTCCCGAGGGTTGGAGGGGAAAAGTCACCTGAAATGACCGGCCAGGGAGCAGCGGCAGCACCACACAGGCATGGAGAGAGGCTGCGGTCCTCCCGGCTGGCTGTCTCAGGCTCGTCCCGGCGCGCGCCTCGCCTGCACCGGGCGCGGGAGTCCGTCCCCGCACAGCGGCTTCCGCTCCTCCCCGCCGCCGGCAGGGCGGGCGCAGCGGGTGATGAGCGCCGCGCCGGGGGCGGGGTCGGGGTCGGGCGCTGCGACGGCGCCGCACGGCTCCGCCCACCAGGTGCGGCGCGTAGACGAGGCCGCCGATTGGTGGAGCCGCGGTGATGAGCGCCGCGCCGGGGGCGGGCCCACGGGGAGAATGCGTACGGCGGAGGCGCTGGGAGCCGGGTCGTCGCGAGGCCTATGGTCCGGGCCTGGAGTGGGCGCGCGCTGTCTGTGCCCGGGGAGGGGGGGGGGGTGGAAAACAGAAGAGAAGAGGTTGCTCCCTCCGGCCTGCGAGAGAGTCTTGTCCGGGGAACCCACCTGAGCTCTCGTCCTCGCACTACCTCGGGTGCGTCGGGCCTCGGCCCCCGCCCGCATCGCGGTCACCCTGAGAGCTCTGCAAACCACAGGTGCTCCGGCCGGCATGCCTGCCGCTGCTCCTGGCCGCCTTCAGCCTCCCTCCTTAAAGAGCGCGGCCCCCACACTCCCCAGGGCGGCGAAGGCCTCAGCCCTGCAGAGACATTTGGGGGAAGGGGCAGGGCCAGAAAATATTTTCAGTCCTTCCAGGTGTCTGAGATTCCATTGGCAGGCTGGGAAATTCTGAATAGGGAGCGCGTCCTATTTGGTAGTGGTCCAAAGTTAAGATGGGGGTAAACACCTTAGAAATAGTTGACGGTACCTGCTTGCTCTTCGTAGACAATGTTTCTCCTCACAGTCATCATTGTTTGGGAGAGTTAAAACACGGGTATGTTTATGTCTTTGAAAGAACTACTCGCTAAATTTTTCAGAATGTTGGAGTCTATATTTTTAAGAGAATCATCCTTGCAGAGCATAGTGGCCAAAGCCATTAATCCCAGCACTGGGCAGGCAGAGGCAGGTGAATCGCCATGAGTTCAAGTCCAGCCTGGTCTACATAGGACATCCAGGGCTTTATGAGAGACCCGGTCTCATAAAATAAAAATAAAAAGAAGTCAGCCTGCCTCTAGGATTCCATATCTAAAAATGTATTCACCAGTTTTTTTTTCTTTTTTTTCTTTTTTTTTTTTTTAATCTATGTCTTTCTCCTCTTTGGAATGATTGCAGTATGGCAGTTCATTTTACTTTTAATGTGTTAGCAGTTGTGAAGGAGAGTTTCTGGAAGGAAGCTGTGTCTGCAGAGACTGTAACTGCAGAATAGTGGAAAGCTTGGAATGTTGCAGGTCCAGAAACTAATTACTTTATCTTGTAACGCTAGTTCTAGAATTACAGAATAGCCATTACTTGGTCATCTCTATGTGTAAACTAACATCTTGTGACTAGTAGATAAAATACCTTTTGGAATCTATTAACTTGGCAGACCACTAGCTAAGAATGCTAAGACCATTAGCTAGGATACCATCCTGAGACTATAGTGAAGCATCCCTCATCTTGCTATACCTGCCTCTCTGCTGTACTTTAGTAAAACATACCAGTGTATTTTGAATTTCCTTGATTTCTTTGTTCTGTAAAACTTCACAAAATTGCTTCCAATTGGAACATGAAATTTGAGGTCATTTAAATCTGTGTTCCCAGGCCACTCAAAATAGCTCCTCAAAAATTTCCTCTTATTTCCTTTAAGAGGAAAGATGTGTTTTTTTTTTTTTTTTTTTTTTTTTTTTTTACATCAGTGTTGTAACATATAAGATTATGCTTCTAATATTCATACCATTGTCCTATTATACATTTTTCCTTTATGGCTTCATTTTATATTGTAGGAATTTTTGCTTTTCAATAGTTGCAGAAAAATAAAATGGGTACATCAGATTTCAATTTTACTTTGGTTTGTATTTAATGTTATTTTTAAAAGAACACTTTTAAATCACTGATGCACAGGATGAGCAGGGCCAGAATGAGTACATTAGTGTAGATGCCTACAGAAACCATAAGAGGGCGTGGGACTCCCCTGGAGCTGAAGTTGTTGGCAATTGGGAGTTGTCACCCAATTTGTGGTGGTGGGAGCCCCTTAATGTTCTTCATAGTTCTGTGCTCTCTCTCCACTCCATAACATTTTGAATGTGTCAAATCTGTGAGAAAACAAACCTAGTGTTTAAGCCATCTAACCTGTGGTATTATTGTTTTGCAGCTGGAGCCAAGATAGTATGTTTTTGCATTTTCTACAAACAAGTTTTTTAATCATTCAAAACAAACAGTTTGATTTTGTGTACTCCGGGCAAACATGGAAATGGGCAGTGTCAGAAAAACCAATAACTTGATCACAAAATATTCATTCCAGGAAAGATTCTAGAAAGGGCATTGTTTTATTAACTTGAAGCTGGAGATGCTTTCAAATTTGTTATCATCAAGGCCATTGACCCTTCTTGGTACCATGATGCTGGAATTAAACCATCAGTTCAGTTTTCTACCCTAGATAGGAAGTATTAGGAATACTTCAGTGATTACATAAAAAACTGATAGAAGCTGTGCAGAAGACTTCAGATGAGGATTGATCCTGCAGTTTGATTTCCAGGGAAGGAAATCTCACAAAGAGGTTCCCACTTAAATAAACCCTTTTACAGTTTTTGTTAATATTGCAACAATCCAGTTCACCTGCAGTGATTTTACAGAAAATAAAAATAATTTCATACATTATGTTTAATACAGGTTACTGTAGAGAATCATAAGGGAGCAGAAGAAACATAATGAAGGTAGGATTCAGGAAAATTCCCAAGTTACACTGTAAGATCCCATCACTGTCTGAGCAAAAAGCTGTGAGCCTAATCAGAAAGCTACAGCTGCAGACTCTATCATGCTGGACATTCGTTATTTTTATTCTTAATTTTCTTTATCTGCTACAAAGTTCGTTTAGAAGGTCAGAACTCTGTTTCTTTGTCCACTGTTGTATAGCAGAACCTGGCTTGCGTTAGAAGCCACAGATACCACACAAGTAATCTCAACAGAGCTGAGGTTGGGTGTTTTTTTGAACTAAATGGAAGGGATAAACATAAGTCAGAGACTTAACATGTTTTATAGCCTGTAAGGTCAATATATAGGCACTGTTTGCATAAGATTAGAGAAAAACAATTAAGACACCTCATTCAACAAAAGATAATGGGTGGGTGTGTGTTTTCAGAAAGTGAGATGTTGGATGGAATGCATAGTAAGAAAATGTTTAAAAAATAAGAAGCAGGGGTAATGGTGCATGTCTTTGAGCCCAGAAGCAGGTAGATCTCTGAGAGTTTGATGCCAGTCTGATTCATAAAGAGTTCCAGTACAGCCAGTGCTTCATATACAGAGACCCTGTTTCAAAAGAAAAAAAAAAAAAAGGAAGAAAAGAAAAAGAAGATACAGTCTGCACATGGAGATAACCTACCCCTATTGCATACTGAGAAAACAACAACAAATTGCATGAAGGAATAAAATCTACAAAGGAGTGAAAGACTAGCAGAAGACTTGTATCAACAGGACAGAGTTTTATAAGGTAAACCTTTGAAAGTTCCAGGTAATGAATGACTTTGAGCTTGGAGCTATTTAGATTAAAAGACTACAGGGACGTAAGGAATAATTTCCTGTAATAAAAAGGAGTTTCTAGATATGATAGTATCCTGGAAATATTTGAAGAACCTATCCTAATAATGGCTACTATAAAAGTAGACTTTAAAGACAGAAGTAAAACTGAAATTTAAAATCCAATTGAGATGGCTTTGTGACAAAAATGTGCAGTAAGATGATAGTGCTGCAGAATGAAACTTGCCTGGACAGGGAATGATGCTTACATAAAAACAAAATAAACACCCATTTTCAGATTTACAGTCCTATCAACTAAATCAAAAGCTCTTCATTATCCCCACCAAGCTGGGGGTGAATGTTAAACACTATAGTAATAAAAAAGCATAGGAGATAGTGGTAGCCCCACTTTGCAACTCCAGTCTATGTAGAACAGGACTTTGTGGGGCTTCAGTTGGATACAGCTGACTTGCTGGGTTCATACCAAAAAGGGGAGTATGGATTGAGAAATGACAGGTAAAGATCCTAAGGAAAAGACAAACACACAGTGTAGAATCAGATCGAGCCAGTGAATACTGGATGCCCAAATTTTTTTTCCTTAGTTCTCCAAATATTCAGTAATGAAGCCTGAGACTAAATCTCTCATTATGTTGCCTTGAGGGTTAAGAGTAACCCCACTTTAGACTAAGTCTCTTGTTATTTGGCTAAGACATCCATGACTAAGACAAACATCCTACAGTAGCCATGGCTTAGATCTTCAGGTCTTATGTCTTTAATCTTGGAAGAGTAAGGATAGTTTTGAATTCTCTGACCTTAAGTCAAAATGAAGTGAAGCCATTTGTATAGGTCCCACCCGGCAGGAGATGAAGAGGTGGTATACTCCTATAGTTGAAATAAATATTAATTGAAATATAGATTTAAAATAAGAAATGTAATCAGTGGGAAAACTAACAGTAGTGATGTTATTAGGTGTTGTGAGTAGAGAAATTTGGGATAGTTAAATGTATTAAATCTGTCTTGATGCTTAGGCAAGATCTAACAAAAATCAACAATTAATATCATAAGCATATTTCTTACATGTATGAGGGTATTAAACACAGTGGTTGTTCCTAGGTAACAAGATTGGGAGGGGTAGAGGAGGATAGGTTAGGGATCTCGTTTCTTTCCATTCAGCCTACTTCATCCATGTTACATATTTATGCCAGACACACATTTGTGAAATGGACTTTTCTGAGCATTGAGACTGAATATTTTTCTATCATAACAATACCAAAATGTGTGATTGAATATTGGACAGCTTTGTTCTCAAGGTTTGTTGAGCCAACCATGCTCCTATCCCTTATGCAGGTAGGATTTGTAATCCTGGAGCTCTGGATAGCAGGGAAAGGAGTAGTTCTGATGAGAGCTGAGCAGTTGTTGGGGGGTCAGAAACAGGAGAAAACAGTCTTGCACTCTGAGCAGAGTGTTGTTTCTTAACCATGGCTGCATGAAGTTTC